CTCCAAACAGTGAATGTAATTCTATTTGGAAATATAATTTACTTTCTTTTGGTTAAACATTCTTCTAAGTGGTATAGCACTGGTCTGTCCATTTTCTATATAGAGGTAACTCGTGGTTGCTATGATACTCAACACTGTGACACTGATGTGTCAAATGCAATAATGGTTACCCGTGGTGGACAGTGTTTGGTGCAGCTCCCTGATTAAAACAAGCTTGGAAGCAGGAGTGGCATCCACTTCCAAAATAACTTGCCTCTGGAAACTCTATGAACTTGAAGAAGTGATGAAAGTTATACAAATGTTCAGGTCTTTCGTTCATAGAGTCGCTATGAGTCGGCTACAATTCGAGGGCATGTAACAACCACACATATGAATAGGTATCAATGTTGTTGTTACATGCTTTTGAGATGCCTGCAGCACATTATGCCCTATGCATAATATCTCTAAACCCTACTCTATCCTGAGCCAATCTCACTCACTGTCTCTGACACACCTCTCCTCATTACACCGGTTATTGTGTCAATCCATCTCATCTGGGATCTTCCTCTCCTGCACTGTCCCTCCACACTTCTAAGCACGATATCCTTTCCCAAGAACTGGTCCCTTCTGGTAACATGCCCAAAGTATGTGAGTTGGAGCCTCAAAATCCTAGCATCCAAGGAGCAGCATGGTTTCACCCTCTCCAGGACAGGCATGTTCTCTTGGCAGTCAATGGTACATTTAATGCTCTTCTCCAGGACCACATCTCAAAGGCATCAATTCTTTTTATGTCCTCTTTGGTCATTGTCCAGCTCTCTGATACATAACAAGTAATTGCAAAGACCATGGCCTGAATTAGGTGCATCTTAATCTCTAGACTGATGTCATTGCTCTTTAGCATTCTGGAGAGATCCTTGACAGCAGATTTTCCTAATGCAATTTGCCTTTTGATTTCCTGACTGCTAGTAGGTGTTGATTGTGGAACCAAGCAAGCTGAAATTGTTAATAGTCTCAATATCTTTTTTTTTTTTCATCTATCATGGTGCTGCCGATTTGCCCAGTAGTGATGAGGATCTTCATTTACTTGGTATTGAGTTTAAATCCATATTGCAGGCTACAGTCCTTGACCCTCTGTAGCAAATACTTCAGGCCCTCCTCAGTGTAGGGTGTGCCTAAATGCAATCACTTCTGAATTTTAAAAAGCAGTATAGAAAGAGATAAGCAAGCAGGAATGAGGGGGAAATAGATGTAAGGTGGAGATAGCCAAGGAAGTAAGGAATGCTAGGTTACAGAATCTGAGACAATGACCTTTTCCCAGAGCTGTCAGGAGAAAAGAAAGCCTTTCTTTGTAGTCAATGCCCTAAATTTGAAGGAATTACTGACATTTCTCTAAAGCCACATGTGATATTTTTGTTATAGCAGTACTAAAACAAAGATAGCGCTAACATTCAGGCAGTAATTCTTTGTTACACACATCAAGATACTCAATGGAAACAATCAAGTCCATGAGTTAGGATCATTCAAAGTAAGTATTTGTTCACCGTAAATATTTCTAGCAAGTGCTGTAGAAAAGAAGTCTGAGAGCAAATTTCTATTTTGTTTCATGTTTTTATCACTGGACAATCAAAAGTGTCTATCAAATTCTACAGTATTCCTGGTCATTCTGACATATGTTGTTGTTGTTGTTATGTGCCGTCGAGTTGCTTGCGACTCATAGCGACCCTATGTACAACAGCCCTAAACTCTGCTCTGTCCTGTACACCCTTCCCAATTTTGAACCATGCAGTGTTCCCTTGCTCTGTTCTGACGACTGCCTCCTGGTCCAAGTATAGGTTTCGCATTAGAACGACCAAGAATTCCCATTCTTGTCAGAGTCAGCCATAGTTTGTTATGATCCACACAGTCAAATGTCTTTGCATAGTCAATGAAACACAGATAGACATTCCTCTGGTATTCCCTGCTTTCA